TGGCTGTGGGAGAAGGTCTGTCCTCCCGAGAGGCAGCTGGCGTTTCCCTGCCCTTCCCGCGGGGCCGGGAGGCCAGCCAAGCCCGTGCGTAAAGCGGGAGCGGGCAGGGCGCAGTCCGCGCAGGGGAACGGTGGTCTTGGGGCCGACGCCTCGGGCTCTCCGCACCCGCAGGCCGAGGTGAAACAGTTTCAAGCTGTTCCCACTTGCCCCTCCAGGCTCGGAACCCCAGCCCCAATTGCCACCGCGGGCATGGGAGCTTGCCTAGTATATGAGCAAAACACCCAAAGGGTGGCAATGGAGAAGAGATGCTCACAAGGAGGGAAAGAAGGGTGGGGAGTGGAGGGGCAGGAGGCCAGATAGCAGCACAGGACAGGGGAGAGCAGCTGGACTTGGCCACACAAAGGGGACAAAGACAGGGGGACAGCATGAGAGACAGAGCAGACAATGCAGGTGAGCTACCTGTGTGGAGGTGCTCCTGTGGCAGACTCTCAGGGACTCTAGCCAGGCTTCTGAATACCCTTGGGACCACCAGGGGTGGTGGTCTGGTTCTGGTGACAGCCTCCACTCTCAGATCCGGCTTCTGCCCTGCCAGGGGGTCCAGAGCTACAGAGAGCTTGTGCTCAGGAGCAGAGGGCAGCCTTCTGGGAGCAGCTAGTGATGTCACAAGCCATGAAGAGAGGAGAGAGGAGGAGGGGAGAGCATGGGGTTGGCTGACACTGGCCCTGAGGCAGGACAAGTCACAGCCAATGCCCCCTGTGTCCTTCCATGGCCAATCCTCAGAATTCACTCTGAACCCACCTACCAGCCTGAAGCTGGTCCAGAACCACTCACAGGAAGGTCCCCAGACCCAGAGTTCGTCCCCTCAGGTGCCACTGCTCTTGCAGGAGAGCACGGATGGAAGGGGGGAGCTTCAGAATGAGCCCTCCAAGCTGGGAGTGAAATAGGGTACAAAAGTGGTGTCCAGACCCCCAGACTCCAACCTGGGATCTCGGGTCAACTCTGGGCCAGGTGTGCACTGCTATAACTAATCGATGGCTACATAGACTGACATAACTGATGACTGAGGTGTCCCCTGAAACTCTGGGTGCGTGAGACTCTGTGGATAGGAGCGAGGTTACCGAGCACCAGCTCTGCCCAGAGAGTGGTCCCAGCAGTTTTCCAGTGGGCTCCTTTATGGAGGTGATGCTGAGCGTGAATTCTCTCCTGGCAGTAGGGGTATCCTGGACTTGTAGTGCTGACCATGGTGGTGGTGGTGGGATGTAGTGCTGAGATGCATGTGGGAGATTTAAGGAGAGGCGTGCGTCCTACTCAGAGCCTTGGTGGTGTAGCGGTTTACACGCTGGGCTGTTAACCACAAGGTGAGCAGTTTGATACCACCAGTCACTTTGCGGGAGAAAGATGAGGCTTTCGACTCCTGTAAGGATTTCCCGTCTTGGAGACCCACAGAGGCAGTTCTGCCCTGTTCTTTAGGGTGACTGTGAGTCCCAGCTGACTGGATGGCAGTGAGTTTGGTGGTGGTGGTGGTGGTGGTGGTGGTGGTGGTGATGGTTTGGTTTGGGGTTTCGGTTTTGGTGTGGTCTATGATCTACTTTAACTTCTCCCAACACTGGGTGCTGCCACGTCCAAGGAGTTC